CTGCCCTTGAAAATTGCATAGCTCAATCCCCGGGGAAGCAGGATCCTTTGGGGCTTAAATGTATAGCTTGCATTACATGTAGTCAAGTAGATCTCATTTTATGAAAGACTCATCCTGTCTCTGAGAGGAACTGTGCAGCTTTTCTTGTGTTGGAATTTTATTTTGCTAATTATATTTCTTTCCCACTGCATATGTTCAAACATTACTAATTATTGGTTGAATCTAAGCTTGATGTGAAAGATGACGCCTTCAGAGAAATTCCTAAAGCCTATTTATTTGTAGCTTTTTTTATTAGTCCATTCAATGCAAGATCTGTAAAAGCAGTGTTCATTTATACTTACATTATTGTGAAATGGGAAAAGCAGGTGGGATCTTGCTTGAAACCTTTTTACCCCCAGCTCCAGCAAACCAAATCCTTTTTTTGCCTTACTTGAAAGACCGTTTTGTAAGTGATGGTTATTTCAGCTCAAGTCTGAACGTAAGCAGTGCACACAAACGTAAGAAATTGTCTGTCTGTCTTCTGAGAGTAGAGCCTTTTAAGAATGGACCCTTGCTTCTATATTATTTCAACATTGTTTATAGTTTGTTTCTCCTGCATGGTATAAGCCTTTCTAGATTTTTTTTTTTTTTTGATTGTGGTGCCTTTTTTCTCCTCAGAATATTGACTGCTGCAAAAATCAGTAGCGGCCATCTCTCTTCCTGCCTTGTTTAATTCACCTTTGGTTTCCATTGTGTCCATCCCGCATCCAGGTGCCGGTAGATGTGTGCTCTCCTCTCTTTCTGTCCCCTCCTGGCTCAGTATTAGTTGGCATCTCTGCTGCTCTGTGCTGTCGGTTCCTCTTGTCTCATCTCCTCTTTCACCTCGTGATCGCTCTCCACCTTCCTCTGAACTTCTGACATCGCTTTGATGTCCCATCTAGCCCTTTTCATGCAGTCTAGGTGTCAAGAAACTTAACTCTAAACCAGTTTGTCACCCTGTCACTGGAAGACTCCTTCACCCTCGGCCCCACAACACCTCTCTGCTCTCTTCCCACTGCGGGTGCCTTGCTGCAGTCTCCTAGCCAGCCCCGGGCTCCTCTGCTGCCACACGCTCACCGACAGCCCTGCCTGTGCTCCCCGTCCGGCAGACTGCCGACCCCTCGGCTGCTCTTGATCCCTGAGGTCAGGGTACGTACCGAGCAGGCAGGCAGCGATGCTTCCCAGGAGACTCTGCTGGCCGCCGGGGATGTTAGCAGTGAGGTCTTTGGGCACAGAGACGGTGCCCTCTGCACTTTGTGGTATCAGGGTTAGTAAATGCTGCCTGAAATCACTGACGTGTGTGCGATTTCGTTGCCTTCTGCAGAGATGATAATGGCACAGCCTGCAGCACAGAGCAGCTCAGCGGACAGAGTTGTGCTGCCTGCAAGGTAACAGTTAATGAGATCTCCTCTGTTAGTGGCGTTTTCCAGCTGACAGTTTAGCTCTTTGGGGAGGTGAAGTGAATACAATTAATTTGAACTTGCCCCCAACAAACCATTGCACTGGCATTCCCAGCTAGCATCATAGGCTGCTTCTGTTTGTATTTTAGGTATTTCCGTTTAGCTATGCATCTATAATAGAAAACAAATGCAGTGGTTTTTTGACATCTCATCTAACCCTTTGCATGATTAATCAGCTCATTAATCAGTTCATGAGTAAAGTTTAATAGACTAAAGGCTGAATCTCTGTTTGCTGGGGTATGAGCTTGTTTTGTTTGTCTTGGAGTGAGAGCAATTCAAAGACCTGGTGGTAATTTTTGTTTTAAGGATCTTCAGCTCTTCCCCTCCAGCAGTCCCCATGTGAGGTATCAGCAGGGCAGAATCCTTGACTATTGCAGGCTTCTTGCAGTCATGTATATTTTATATATATTTCAAAGAGGCATTGAGCATTACGTCCTGCTCTAAAAGGACTTTGTCTAACACTCAAACAATTTGGGATTGGAAACATAAGGAATATTTTTTCTGCCTGAGCAAACATTCAGTGCAAAGAAAATCCAAGCGTCTGTAAACCCCAAAGTAGATGTGCGGGTGAAGAGTCTGACCCAGGCTTGCTTGCAAAGCAAAAGCTTTGATGGCTAAGGGCAGGATTGTCCATATCCCTCTTCAGATAGAAAAAAAAAAAAATTGGAAAAAATCAGTGTTGTTTGGCTGTAAATATTGCTTGGCAAGTCAGAGTTTGTAGGATTGTTAAGAGGCAAGACTAATACCCAGTTCAGCAGTGTCTTCCTTGGCTGGGAATGAAATCTCAGTGTAACCTGGGGGTCTCTGAGCCCTCACATGGTTCAGGCAACTGCCTGCCTGCAGCTGCCACAGCATGTCTGCGCTGCACCAGCTGCTTATTGACCAGCGCGCATGAGAAACTGTGTGGATTGCATCACGGACCGGTTCATGTAATGATGTCTGTGCAAGTTGTCCTGGCCCTATGTATTAAGTTGTTAATGAATAGGTTGCTCTGGAGAGAAATTTTTGGTTCAGGTTTCTGGTTAATAGTTTTATTCCTTTCTGTATCTGGTGAAATAGAGATTTTATGGGGATGGGGTTGTAGGTGAGGAAGAACAAAAGGGGTAAAAAGATGAGAAATAAACCAAAATATCACAATGAGGTATTCAGGTGCCTGAGTTTGAGCTTGAACCTCCTGCATCTTGAGGTGAATTCCCTAACTCGAAGGCTATTCAGGGAAACAAATGATCTTTTCACAAAAGTTTCAGGTTCCACAACAGTGTTAGTGACTGCTGTCATACTCCTGGCTAATAGCGTCAGTGAGCAGTCTCTAACATCTTGAGTGGGTCTTGGGAGAAGTTGTATTAATTCATATTAAATCAAACTGTCCGTTCATATAATACTGTTGGGTTTGGTTCATTTTGTAAACTGGCAGTCTCGAAACATTAGCCTGTATGCTGGGCGAGCGCCGCAGTGCTACGGCTCATGAGTGTTGCATGCTTTGGGCTCCCAGCCAACAGTCGTGTCATTTGAGTAGCATATTAAGTGCTCATGTAATATTTATATCTCTCTTATAAGAGATATTAAGGAGGGGAGACAATTCAGCTTTGCAAAAATAGAAACTAAGGTGGATGTTGATAGGGTTTGGTGTCAGCCCCAATGATTGCTGGTTTTGTTAGCAACAGCATACGGGGTATAGGGTGGCACTGGCCTTCCTTCACAACACCAGGCTCTCTTTGCAGGATCGGTCAACAGACAGGTACTTGGTAGCTAGCTGCTGTGCACGTTATTTTGCTTGGCTTCAGCGATCCTTTAACTTGGTTTTATTTTGAAGTTGCCAGGGAGCAGCAAGAGCAGGGCTGCTCTCCATGGGAAAGCAAGCGGACAGGGGTCCCAGCGCTCACAAGGCAAGCAGGACAGACCCTGAGATGGTGGCCAGGTCCAACCAGAGTCCAGGCCATGAGGCAATGCCACAGTTATGAGGCAGGTCCAAGGTCAAGCCAGGAAGTTGATGCCTAGTTCAGGGTTAGTATCAGGCCCAGTGATGGCCCGAGAGGTCCGCAGTGTCGAGGCAGAGCTGAAGGGGGCATGGACATGGCCACAGCTCAGCTGGAGACCAGCCCTTCTCCCATGTAGCTCAGACAGGTTCTATGGGCTGAGCCAAAATGTGGCTCCTGGTCCCATGGGTGGGGGGGGGCTGGGGCAAGGCTGGTCAGGGTCAGAGAGGCTTATTGGTGCCCTTGGGGCCCTGGCAGAAATAGTGAGGTGATGGAGCCCCCTCCCCTCCTCACGGTTTTTAGTTTTCTTAACAGTTGTTGTGGTGCCTAGCACAGACAGGACAGAACCTGTTTGGAAGCGTTGGTCTGCAGAAACAAGTGCAATTTAAGCTTCAGCACAACAAATTTGGGTATTGCATGGTTAGAAATGAACAGGATGCACCCATCAGAATGGTCTGAACCCTTGCACCAGATCAGTTATTAAAATGCCAGGACACTCAGCAAGGCAACTAACTGGTCAAATGTAGATGAAGACCACCTAGCAATCACGTAGGTAGTTATTTGTAGGTGTTGGTTGGAGGGGAGTTACCCATGAGTAGATGCTTTCTGGATTTTGTTTACAAACAGTTAATCCAATGCTGTCTCTTGCAGCAGATAGGGTAAGCTGTAGAAACTGTCTCAGTGATGCAAAAATGCTGGAGGAGGCTGAAATCCCCTATTGCGTGTTTTGCTCCTGTCTGAGATCACAGCCAACTGCAGCAGCCCAAGTCACAACAACGTTGGGATTTTTTCAAGAGCTGTAATTTAAATAAACTTTCTGGAAAGTGGAGATCCCAATTTGGGAGATAATGTGCTAGCGCTCGAGGGTTAGGGAGCACGTGTGCTTTCTGAAAAGCTTCTGGCAGAGGTACGCACACACATATCACAGCTTCAACTGACTAGTCTTGTGTGTTGAACTACAAATTAGTTATAAACTTCCTCAGGTATTTGAACACCAAGATGTGGGATCTTGCAATGAGAAATGCTGATGTTCAGCCTGTGGGGAGAGGAAGCGAGGACTGGTTTGAGTGAGACTGGGATGGAGGAACAGTTGCGTGACCCAAACCCTCAGTGGCACGACTCGTGCTGACCCAGCACGTGGTGCCTGGCCCCACCGTGGCCAAGTGGGGCTCTGGCTCCTGTGGCTCCACAGGGGATGATGTAATGGCTGCTGGGAGTCAGGTGTTTGTGGGCTCCCTAATTCCTGTGTCCCACTCAAGGTGTACTGCGTCATGAGCGCAGGGCGTTCCTTAGACTGTTGTGTGAGCATGTGTAATTACATATAGCAGAATGGTAATGAAGGACTTGCTGTGAAAATAACTGCCTCATAACTTTGGTCTGTGCTTGAAAACCAAGCCTATGCTTTATGCTGTTCCAGGGAAACTGGTTTCAAACGTTTTTGGTGACCAGCATCAACAGAGTAAAATTACAGAGACATGGTTTCCAGCACTCGCTATGTTAACTCCTTTCCCCAACTTTTATAAAATGCTTGCAGGGCGCTAGCAGCATGATCTCAGAAAGGGATTCAGAGACCACCTTCGATGAGGATTCCCAGCCTAATGATGAGGTGATGCCATATAGTGACGATGAAACGGAGGATGAGTTGGACAGTCGGCAACCTGCAGTCGAACCAGGACAAAACCAAATCAACAGAGATGCTGAGGAGAGCCAAGAACCATTGAAAAAAGGTAATATTATGACAGAAACTTGATTGTGTAGCAAATGATCCTGAATACAGAGGCTGAGCTATGTACGGATCAATTTGATTTTTGTGCGTATTCATTAGGTAGGTTTGGAATGGTGTATCTGAATCTGTGGAGGAGTAATTGATGGCAATTCAGTTTAACGAATCTCAGAGTGAAAATCAGCTTCATTTCAATCTGCAGCCAGAGTTCTGTGCCACTGCTTCTTGCATAAAGCTAATGATCTGCACGGTGACCTTGTCTTAATTAAGGCAGGCCCTAGATGTACATAGCCTGTGGTCTGAGAACTGCTCGAACAGAACTTCAGATATGTGTCTTCCCCATCATTTGGAAACTTGAGCCAACATAAACCAATTTGCTGTGTTTAGTCAGTTGGTTTGCATGTATTTCTGCTTTCTAAGTCTTGTGCAGATGAAATTTCAGCTTCAATGCTAATTTTGTAGCCTCATGATCTTCTTTGCAGTAGTTTCAGAATCACAGAAAGGTATGGTGAGTAGGAGTTCAACAAAACCCATCAAGTGCAGTCTGTGTGCTGCTACCAGCATAGGAGCATAAATGGAAGGAGCCTCTCTGGCATGTTTTAGACATACCTGTTCTTAACCTCTGTCCAAGGGAAGTGTGTAACTCCCCTAAGTACCTTTTTTTTTTTTTCCCAGTGTTGCAATGTAGGTACTTTTTATTTAACCACTGCCTTTTTAATATATATATAGATTTCTTCCTGTTTGTGTGGCAATAGGGAACAGTTGATCAACTCTCGTTTTATAACCACCTATTACATGTTTAGGTTTGGGGTTTTTTTTATGACGACTGAGGTAACACAGTCTATAGAATAAACAGTTTTCTTACCCTCTCATCATCCTTCATATTTTCTTGAGTTCTTATCATGACTGTTGCTCTCTCCCCAGATCCCCCCGTCTTACTTTATCCAGATACTTTATTTCATAGACACAATACACCAGCAACCACAAGTTTGCTTTGTGGCCTAGTATAAGCACAAGAAAAAGAAAAAAAAAAAAGAGAAACAAAACTAAAACAGGACCTCCTACACCTTCAATTTCTTTTCTCAAGTGTACTATGCCTTTTCCTTTATCCTGGTGAACTGGACAGAATCTGAAAGCAGGGAGATGAGTTTTGATTCTGCCCTCCAAGGGGCTCATAGCACCCGCTAGTTCAGTGTAACCACAAGTCTCTGCTGTCTATACGGTTAATGTTACCCAAATTATTATCCAAAATATGGACTAGAGCTATGGATATGGCAGAGTTCCTTTGAACTATGAGCTAGGGCAAAAGCTTTAAGGAGGTAAGAGATGTTACCATGCAGGCTTGGTAGGCCAGTACTCTAATCATACAGCTTCTAAGCAGTTGACAAGTTTTTGTCAGATTTTTATTTTTTCATCCTCTTTAGATCCTTTGGGTTTTGTTTGTTTAAATCATCTTTGTGTACATTTTCTGGTTAATAGATAATTTTCTGGCATAAGTTGCAGAATTTGTAGAATCTGCTGACTGGTTCAGTAGCTAATTATATTCAAATAGTGCTACAAAAACATCATCCTTTTTGCTGCTTATTTTTTTTCCCCTCAACAAGACGGTTTTCCTGTTATGTTCCTTTAACGGTGATAAACTACTGGTGCAGCTTCCCAAATATTAGGTACTGCTATCACTTCTAAGCAGTTTAAAGTAATTTCAGGGAGCTTCCTTCCTGCAGGTTTTATTTAAGACCTAATTTGCCACTCTTCCATCTGGGCTGCTGAGGTTTTATCAGCACTGCAATGTTTCTGTGAATGTGGTGAAGAAATGTTCTTGTAGACATGGTTACAATTTGCTTCAGTCCTGTCATTAATAACTTTCTCAATTTATGCACTTCAGTAATGCTTATCTTCTTTTAAACCAAAACCTGATCCTCCAGTAATTTTTTTTTTTTGGTAAATTTTATGTAAGGCATTTAAGACTCTGTGACTCCCAGCACTTCTGTGTAAGCCCTGACCAGGATGCACAGTGTATCTTCACCATCTGGTGTATGTTTTCATTTATGCAATCTTAAATACAAGTGCTACAGCAAGATAAATATTTCTCTACTATCTTCTCAGCCTGCAACCGATCTTTCAGAAAAGAAAGTTGTATAGTCGCAGATCCTGGGTACATCAAACGAGACCTTGCTTTCTGTGTTGGATTGGGGGGGGGGGCGCGGGGAAGGCTTTGGGTCTGGGTTTGCAATTTTAAGTTTGAGTCAGCCTTATCAGACCTGACTACCTTACAGCGGTCCTTACAGCAGCCCAGGAGTGCCTTCACACGTGCTTCCCTGCAGGTCCCTGGCAGTGGGTGCCAGTCCCCATCCCACACCTCTGCCTCCGGGAGTTTCACCCCATCCATGCTCTCCAGTGCTGGATGGGCTTAGGTCACGAGAATCCCATGAAACCAAAAAGAACACCCATTAAGAACAATTACTGTGGGTTGGAGAAAAGGGGGAGACATTTGGCTGATGAGTCAGGAAAGCTGAATTTCAAAATACTGTCTGCCTCATCCTTCCCAGGCAGGCAAAGTTCTCCTGTGAGTCAGCTCAAAAACTTGCTGAATGAGTTCAGTGGGGAGTTTCTTTGATGTGGGCAGGGCCTGAATTTGTGGGTGTGGGTAGCAGGATTAATAGTTTATTGGTGATGCAGGCTTGAGGGCAGGAAAGGGATCTGAAGGATCTTGAGGGGAAGGAGGTAGCCTGTGAAAGAGGGGGGCATGGAAAATAACTTGACAGCAGGAGTTGTTCTGGTAGTGGTCGACCAAAAGCTACTTATGTCTTAGATGAACCCCATTTAAAGGTGAACTTCACAGGACTTAGATTAACAACAGGGACCTTAAGGTGGAGATGGATGGTTTGTTAGCAAGTCCTCTAGAGGCTTTTTCCTTAGGGAGACTGTAATGTCAAGTCAGGTTTTAAATGCTAAGTACTGAAGGTGACAGAAGGAGGCAATATTGCTTAGCTGCTTTGTAAGCAAATTTATCAGTTTATGGTCCAAAACTTCAGAAGGTGTTCGCAGACATCGCTTGTTTAGTTTTGTTAAATTTTACTGCAAAATGCAATTTATGTTCCTGAGTTTTCAAGCAGTCAAACAAAATTGATGGCTGAAAAAATAAAATGAGCACTTCAGATTTTTACCTTTTTCATGGTTGTAAATGAAAACCATTGCACAGTATGGTTATATGAAATAATTGTTTTCCAAAGTTTAGTGGACCTTTTCATTTCTAGAAAGACTGAGAAACCCTGTTTTGGGTGCGTAGTGCTTCACAGGTATAAGAAAAGAAAACCAAAAGAGGGGAAAGAAGGGAATTTAGCATGAATAAATGTTCCAATAGGTTTTCAGTTTCTCATAGAACTTCCAAATTGTTAATCACCACTTCCTCCTACCTCAAATTATATTTTAATTGTTAATAAAGACAAATAGCCTGGAGACTTCCTGAAAACCTTTTTTTTAGACTATGTACTAAAAAGCAGGTACCAGTCTTGTTTCAACTGAAAATACCTTTAAAAGATGGCATTTCAGAGAAAACCTGAAACTGGCTGATTTGTTCCTTCATGTTTATAACAATCAGAGGTTGACCCATTTTGCCTTGTCTCTTCCAGATTGCAGCTGGCAAGTTAAAGCAAATGATCAACGCTTCTATGAACAGCCCCAGTTTAAGAGAACAGTATTTCTGTGCTTCAAAAAAAGCAAATATGCAGTAAGTTTTCTTTATCTCAGTTATGTGCTAACAGTACTTGTCAGGGTGAATACTTTCTTAATCTCACTAAGATCTTTGGAACCACTGGTGATTAGTGTAAAAACCACAATTAACACTTCTTAGGATTTCCAACAAAGGTGAGGAAGTATAACTGGTTTGGGGTTTGTGAATGGAAAATCAAGGTATCAAGAGACTTGTTTAAGATGAGATAGAGAATTAGAAGCCAGGTGTCCTCAGTCCAAATTCCGAGTTTTATTGGCTGTTGCAAACGTCCACATAGGTGTCATCTTTCGTATAAGAAGTTTCCGTATAGTATGAAGCAATATCCTGACTAAGCTAGACTGGGACAGTCTTAAAAATAGACATTTGGGAATGTCTAGTCATTTAAACAGCATAATTTTAGATACACCTAATTATGATAAAGGAGACATTTTTATCTCGTTTATCAAGACAAAAGGTTGAATTTTTTTCCTGTTCCTAATTTTTTAACCTTTCAAAGTAATAAAGCTGTGGTGCTTCTATGTGGTGCTGGTTGCGAGTGACAGAGGCTTGGACTGTGGGGTTACTACATGTGGAGTGCCTGGCTTTATCTGTGATGCATTGGCTCATTGGTTCCCTTGTACCTGCTGAGATACCTGCCTTGCAGACTTGAGGCAGTTTGGATTATCTCATACATGGTTATGAACTTTTAATAGTAAAACTGCTACAACTGGAGCTATTCAAATGGAAATCCTTCATGTTTGGACTAGGTAGGGACTGGCACTTGTGAGAGTTAACCTTTGCTGGATCTGATGTTGTCCCTCCTGAATAAGTCTAATTATCAGTCCTTTTTGTCTGGATTCATTATTTGTAGTTTCATGCCTGAGACTAATTATATCCCTAATAGTGATGTTGTATATTGAGCAAATAATGTCAAAAGGCATTACAGAGAAGATTGCCTAGGAGGAGAAAAGCACGGAAGTTTCGTTTCCTTCCCTTCTCTGTCCTCATCTGGCAGTGCCATGTGCACTGTGTCATTTACTGGGGGAGAGGCTGTAACCTTTCTACACTGTGACTGTGCAATGCCCTGTAGTCCTCGGTGTAGCTAAAGCTTCAGTCTGAGATGCTTTTTGGGGTACGTTAATGTCAGTGAAACAGACCTTTTTTGCCTTATTTCATTAAGATGGTGACATTAAGATGTTAAACTGTTGAGTTACAATTCTAACAAAGTTCGTAGGAAAGATTTCACTAGTAAAATGCTTTACTTAAAAATAGGCATTGTACATTTGTAATGTAAGAAGAATCTGTTCTTGTGAATGACTTTTGGTTTTCTTCAACAGGCAAATGCAATTAAGACATACAAGTACAATCCTATCACTTTTTTACCACTTAATCTGTTTGAACAGTTTAAAAGAGCAGCCAACTTCTATTTCCTCGTTCTTCTCATTTTGCAGGTAAGAAAAGCAGAGAGAACACTAACTGTAAAGTGGATTTGAGGTGCTAATCTACTGAGCTGAATAATACTTATGACACAATTCAGTGCTATCCTGTAAGGGAATGTATCTGAACTACTACAGAAACTAAGCTCATCTCAACAGAAATCTGGAACAACCTACCCTAGCGTTGTATTAGCTAGGATGAGCTAGTTGCAGAGTTCATTAATTTCATGGGGAAAAGATGTTTCTTTTACTCTGTAAAACATGATGGCCTTAAGTTCCACTCATGAATCAGAAGCTCCAACACAAAATACAAGCAACTACAATTGTTAAAGAGAAGCCAATGCTGAGGTAGGGCAGCACAGTCAAATTCTCCCCCTAGAGTTTGTTCATCTTCACAACCTGACTTAAAATTCTCTCTCTGATGTGTTGGTTTTCCTTCTTATGTTACAGTCAGATCACTATGAAATGTCTCTGAATAGAGCTTGATTGGTAGTCCTCTACTGAACTGATTTTATTTGTCTTTTGTAGTCGATTCCCCAAATAACTACCCTGTCATGGTATACAACACTGGTGCCCTTACTCTTGGTGCTGGGAATAACTGCAGTCAAAGACCTAGTGGATGACATTGTAAGAAACATGTTTTGTTAATGTTAAAAGCAAAACACCTCAGTGTTGTTAATTTCTTTAATTGTGATATGTGGTAGGGAGTATATTCTCTTCTCCTGGTTTTCAGGCTCGTCACAGGATGGACAACGAGGTTAATAATAGGACATGTGAAGTCATCAGGGATGGAAGGTTTGTACTGTTACCTTAACTTTGTAAGTGATGTTTGTTGTCTTGTTACTAAGTTTCATCACAGATCTTAAACCATAGATGATAGGGAAAGTTCAGCTTTTTGTTCTTTACTGTTCCACATGTCTGTGTGGAAAACCCAATTGAAAATGGAAGAGAATTGCCCAAAGGAGTAATTTAACTTAATTTTGTGGCACTAAATCTGTGCTAAGAGCAGCTTCTTTGGAGAGAAGGGCAGAAATTCATATATAGGTGAAGAGGGAAGAGAAGAGGTAGGTTGACTTCTAAGTTATAGATGCCCAACTAAATTGCAGTTTCCAAAAAGAAAAAACACACATTACCAAGGTGTAATGTTTTTCTACTAAGGAAAGTTCAATATTTCAAGATTTTTAGAGTGCATAGTGTTCTAGATTAAATAGTAATAATTATTGAACTATCTTGATATTAGGTTCAAAAACACAAAATGGAAAGATATTAAAGTTGGTGATATCATTCGTCTGAAGAAAAATACTTTCGTTCCTGTAAGTGCTTTAGATATATTTGTTTTGTTTCTAGAGAGTTCTGTACAAATCTTGACTTGGATTTATTTGGTGCTTATTTATTTGTTTTTCTAGGCTGATATTTTGCTGCTATCCAGCTCAGAACCAAATAGTCTCTGCTATGTAGAGACAGCAGAACTAGATGGGTAAGGCTCTATCTAAGGATTTCTTGGATTTAATTTTGGCTTGCTGGTAAAAGAGCAAGAAGTGTGTATTTCAGACTCTATTTGTCACTTATTAAGCCACACCTGGAAACTGTGTCCAGTTTTTGATTCCCACAATTCAAGGATCATTAAAAATTGGTGAGGGTCCACTGGAGTGTCACAAAGATGTCTGAAGTGTTGGAGTACATGATATATGAAGAAAGGGTGAAGGACTTGGATTTATTCAGCCTGGAGAAGAGACGGGTGATTTAATCAGCCTTCCAGTATCTCAAAGATAGTTACAGAGAAGCTATTCTCTTCACATTGACAGGACAAGAAGCAATGGTTACAAATAGCTCCAGAGGAAATTCTGTCTGCATTCAAGAATAATTATTCTCATGGTTGATAATTTTTACTGTTGGAATAGGTTGCCCAGAGAAGTAGTAGAATTTCTCTCACTGGAAACAGTCAAGGCTTGGCTTGACAGGGCCCTGGATAACCTCATCCAACATCCTGCTTCCAACAGGAGGTTGGACTGTTGATTACCAGAGGTTTCTTCCAACCTGGACTTTTTTATGATTTTAAACTTTTCTTATGCTGTGTCAGTGGGAAAACAATTTTTTCTGTGGAAGTTTTTGATAGAAACTGCTTAGATAGCATAAATCTTACTGTCTCTCTCACATTGCTTTGTAAATGTTTTAGTTCATGTTGTCAGAAAAGCTAGTGCTGAATTCTTTTAGAGAAGTCCGTAATGATACGGACTTCCCCTAATGAGATGAAATGTTAGTTTTTCCAAATGAGCAGTGTATTCCTTACTCAACCTTTAGTAATCTTAAAAACAATAACTTGCAACATCATGCAAAACAAGAATCTGTTTGTGTTGGGAAAGGTTAGTTCTCTATTGAAGCTTTTAACAGTATCAGTTATTAAACACTGTTTTCAAATAACCATTACTTCAAACTTAATTACTGCATTAGTAAAACAATGATTGTGAGAAGCTTCACTTATGTACATCGAGCAGAGGTAAAGGGGTAAGATTTCACTTGTGAAGAAACTAATCAGTGTAAGAACTAGTCACGTGGTTCATGAATGCTTCATATCCATGCAAATGCATGGCTTTGCCATTGCTTCAAAGTAGGAGGTTGGTACCTATGGCATATTGATTTGCTTAATTTTGTTCAAACTTCTTTCTTGTATCCATGTTTTTAATAAAATGACCTTTTAATCCTTTTTTTCCTTAGTGAGACTAACTTAAAATTCAAAATGGCACTTGAGGTAACACACAGATATCTTCAAGAAGAAAGTGCGATGGCAGACTTTAATGGTTTGTACAGTTATATTCTTACAACTATTCAAATGTTGCTCAAGCAGTTTACAGTACAAGTAAATAAAACGTGGCTGGGGATCTAAGCATTGCCAATGATGCTGTGATTCTGGAGTTAGTGGCATCTTGGCTTTTGTCATGAGGCCGCATAAGCAAGTTGCACAAAGGAAACTGCTGCCGAGCAAAATGTAGTCTGTCTGAAGATGAGACCTTTGCCATGAGTGAGCTACGGCACACTAAGTAGAGATGGTGGAACCCTTTATTAGTGTTTGCCTGCTTGTTTTCTTTGGAAAAAAGTATGTTTGCTGTTGGGAATGGATCTGGAAAATACCTTCTATTGTCCTTTTGTTATTTATCATTATGATCTAGCTGCTTTCTGTGCATGTGGAAGCTTGAAGGGCAGAAATCCCTTCTCTTACTGAGATCTGACACAGAGTTTTATCTCAAGCTGAATATTTAGCAATCCTAAAATTGCAAATGCTTAAAAAAAAAAAAAAGGCTTACAATAGAGTGACATGGAGAAGCAAGCAACTAAGGACTGTTCCTGGTTTCCTTCATTATGAGAACTGAGGAACACAAAGTGAAATGAGCATCTAACAAATTAAAAATAAACAGAAGGGAGATGCTTTTTCACACAATACGTAGTTAAGCTAAAATTCACAGTTTGCCAAAGGATGTTGTGGATGTAAAAAGTTTGTGCTTTCAAAGAACATCTCTTGAGCAAATTTATGTGGAAGGAGAGCCTGCCCACAAAGGCGTCAGCTCTGGTTCAGAAGATCTGTTGGCTGCAACTTGCTGCAAGACTGTGAAAGCATTTCAGTGGCCTGCGCCTGTAATTTGACTCTTCCTTGCACATCCACCTGTCTTGATGAGAGGCAGGGTTCAGGGCTAGAGGCAGCAGTGTTTTGGCCTGAAATTGCCACTCTGTGCTCCTCTGTAGCAATCAGAGTTTGTTTATTTCTGAAACACAGTTTTGATAATGGTAACTGCAGCATGAACCAAAATTTTAGGATGAGCTCAGTTTTGGGGATGGAAGTGCAAATATATGGCATCAAGTGCCAATCATAAAGTAGGCAGTGGGAATAGGGCAAGTCCCAAGAGTCAAAGTAAAATGTCACTTTTTCAGCCGTAATATTTCGGTGTCTGTGCGGTGTAGCAATGCACAGTGGCAATGTTTATCTATAGCAATGTATTGCATGAAGGTTGTCTTCCCCTTGTGGGATCATTGCTAGTAAGTCTTCAGTGGTAAAATGAACTAAATACTACATTCATGCTAGAGTGTAAGATCCAGAGAGACATAGGCTCTTGTAGGCAGGCGTTTGTTAAAATTTGAGAAATATTAAAAGAGAAGGTGAACAAAAAGTGCCCTATTTGGCAGTAAATGCTGTGCCTAGTGATCTTGGTGCAGAAATTAATTCTTTCTGCTATTGCAATCTGGAAGTAAAATACCACCCAAAGATACCATATTTAAAATATCAGCAACACAGCACTGAATATTTGTACACCCTGAATTTCAAATAAATAGTTTATTCAGAACACCTGGTTTTCTCAAAGAAAACAACCTCATGAAGTAAAACTACTTCTATGGTGGGTACAAATCAATGCATTTTTATTTAACTGTTGTATATTAAACATTGTCCACCAAATTTTTTAGGTCTGATTGAATGTGAAGAACCTAATAACCGACTGGATAAGTTTGCAGGAACGTTATTCTGGAGAAACATGAGTTATTCACTGGATGCTGATAAGATTTTATTACGTGGATGTAAAATCAGGAATACAGACTTCTGCCATGGAGTGGTCATATTTGCAGGTATTTATGAATTGAACATGTGTAATATTTACTGACTAAAAGCATGCCCTATAGAGTGAAATAACATCTTTACCTTATAAACATTGACTGTATTTTTATGTCCCAGTTTTGTAAAATAATAATAATAGCACTTGTTTGCATATTGTATCTTTTCTTTTTTTTTCTTTATTTTTAGGTGCTGATACAAAAATAATGAAAAATAGTGGAAAGACAAGATTTAAAAGGACAAAAATTGACTCCCTTATGAATTACATGGTTTATACTGTAAGCCTTTTTGTTTAAACTTCAGGCGTTTTGAGTTCATTTTTAAGTGAATAGAGTGAATGCAAATTCAGGAAATTTTTTTTTTTTTTTCTTTTGATGTAATAAGTATGTTTCCACTTTGTTTGGCCTGGTGAGTTGAGATGAAGTAGGAGGAAATCTAAAAAGGTGCCTTGCTGTTGGCAGAATCTGTGACCCTAAACTGCAGGTGTTGGGCAGCCTACATGATGCAGAAAAATGCTTCAAAACCAGTGTTGTAAGTGCTTCTGCTTGTCTGCGCTGAACTGTTGGACAGAGACCTGAGGACCCAGGTCCTGGTCCAGATGTCCGTTCAGCCTGAAAAGTTCAACACCCGTGGTTTTTGTCCTTGGTCAGCACCTGTGGCATGTGTGTATGAGGAATACCTGCTGTCCTACAACCTGCACTCTACTGAGTGTGATTCCCTGGGATGGGGAAAGAGGAGAGAGAAGCCGGCCTGTTGGCAGGCAGAGGCACGACTGTGGTTCTGCCCCTGCTCCAAGCATGTTCATTTACTCTATTTGCTGCCTGCTTAAATGAACATAAAAACATGAAAATGATGCTTGGGGAATAGACTAAAATTAGAATCCAGATTATTTGAAGACACCATTTTGTGGGAAAGTTTTGCTCCTCTTCTTACTTACAAATATGTGTAATGTTCTATTTTGAACATGGAGATTTGGGATTTAAGTCGAGCAAATGTTTCTGAAGTGTCACAGGCCTTTCTCTGTACACTGTAGATTTTTGTCGTCCTCATCCTGCTGTCGGCTGGCCTTGCCATTGGACACACTTACTGGGAGCAGCAGATTGGTAACTTGTCTTGGTACCTCTACGATGCACAAGACTTCAGTCCTCCATATCGCGGCTTCCTTAACTTTTGGGGATATATCATTGTTCTGAACACCATGGTTCCCATTTCCCTTTATGTGAGGTAAGTAAGTACCTAGGCCTTTAACAGCTGAATTGGTGATAAGATTGAATTACTTAACTTAGAGACTAATGGTGAATGGACTTAATTTCCCGTTGGTGGTAGCAAATACAGCTTCACATTGCATGGAAAAGCATTAATATAATTCTCTGTCTTACTGAAAAGGCATTGGACGTCTTGCCCTCTTCAGTGAGATTTTACAAGAAAGTGATCTGTATTGCTTTCCTATAAAATCATCACTCAAGGACTTTTGACTCAATTTAAAGATATCAAGCTTTTCTTACAGTATTAAGTATATCTGCTCTATACTTTGACTAAGGAGAAAATTCTCCCAAGCAATGATCTCTGACAAAATTGCAGACTTGATCCTGCTAGTATTTAACTTCTCAGTCTAATTCTGCAGTCACAGTGCATGAAGAAAACTACTTGGAAAAAAAATTAAAATGGAAAAATCATATTTTATAGATTTATTCTCAGAAGAGAGGTCTTACAAGTCCATGAAGTATGAATAATTTTGCCTTTGACAAACCTGTCTGTAATATATTTGAATTCATCCAGCCTCCTACCAGTTCTTCTGCAAGTTGTATTTAAAATGCTATTCCCAAGTGGGATTTCTGTTTGTTATGGGAGCAGCACTATAGATACTTCTGGCTTGATAAGGCCATAGAGGCTTTTCCCCAGTTACTGCGGTGTTGTTGAAGCTGAGCTCTCTGGTCCAACATCAGTTTGAGTGGCCTGTGTAGGGGTGATGGTGCTTTGTAATGTGCTGGTAAGCGTAATTGTTTTGTCTTAAGCTCCTGGGCTGTCTGAGCAATTTGAGTCCCGGAAAATAGTCAGAGTCCCCTGAATCTGATAATATGTCATTATTTTGAAATACGAGATGCAGCTGGGAGTGAGAACATTAATTTTATTTCATTTAGTGTTGAAGTGATTCGTTTGGGCCAAAGCTATTTTATAAACTGGGACCTGCAAATGTATTACCCTGAGAAGGACACGGCTGCGAAGGCCAGAACCACCACGCTGAATGAGCAGCTGGGGCAGATCCACTATATCTTCTCTGACAAGACAGGAACACTTACACAGAACATCATGACGTTTAAAAAATGTTGCATAAACGGCCAAAGATACGGTAAGTCTGTGCCACGCTGGTGTGCCCTATAGCGAAAACTGGCTAGCACAGGAGCTCTGATTTGTGACAGGAGCATGGGGGAAGACCATGCAAGTCCCTGTGTAGCACAGCTGGCAGCCTCTGACCAGTCTATACAAATGAGTTGGAATTCGAATGCTTGTTTGAAGTCAGGTGCATATAAGTCTTTTTAGTTTCAACTGAACTTCCACAATTTAGCCTCAGCATTAGTAAAGCTCCAGTAAAATTGAATTGTTTGGGTTTCCTCACTGTTTTCCCCTCTAAAAAGTGGAAACTGATAGACTTCTGTGGAAACTTCCCAGCAGAAAAGTCAAAAATGAGTAATTTACAGAATACTTTACTTCTGGTAGAAATGCTTCAGGGACAAAATTAATCTAGGAACAAATTAAAAAATTTACGAAGAGCAGCAGTTTTTCACTTTAGTGTTAATTACTTCCTTTTCCAATCTTGTCTGGATTTCAATATTCAGAATATGCAGCATATGTGCTCCAGAACTATTGTTTGGTTGGTTCAAATAACAAAGAATGCAGTATGCTAACACCATGTGATTTTTAAACATCCTACCTCTGAAGAGAGATGAGGAATTTCTGACAGTGAAAGCTGTGTTAAGCCAACACAGATGTTCTATGACAATTCCACTGCGTGCTTTTTTTTCTTATATTTGCTTTGGTGTCACTAGTATATAAAGGTACTGTGGCTGCAAATGAGTTTGATTTTTTTTAAATCTGAGCTATTCTAGTGTGGTAGATATTGTTGTTTTTTTGGGTTTTTTTTTTACTCTGTGAATGAGTTGTAAAAACTTTGTTGTTCTGTCCTGTGCCTTCTGATTGATGGTGCTTGCATTGCAGGAGACTGCCGGGATGGAGCAGGGCAGCTTCAGAGTCACCCAGAGGTAGGTCGGTCCAATCTGGTGCTGAAGTCCCTATGGTCTGTAGAACAGGGAACATTCCCTTGCCAAAGTCTGAAAAGATGCAGATAGGCACAAAGCAATTGCACATGAGATGACTCAAACTCTCTCTTCATCTGTTTTCTAAGCAGCAAGTGGATTTCAGCTGGAACATGTACGCAGATGGAAAGTTCTCATTCTATGATCACTATCTGATAGAGCAAATAAAATCTGGAAAGGAGCCAGAAATTCAGAAGTTCTTTTTTCTGCTTGCCATTTGTCACACAGTCATGGTTGACACTTCTGATGGTGAGTCTATTTTTTTGTTTGTTTTTTTTTTTTTTTCCTTGTGTAAGTGGAAACAAGTGAAAAGGAGTGTTAGGCTGCCCTTTAAATTAAAAGCAAGAGCCGATGCTATTCCCTGTGCTGAATTTATCTGACCCTTTATGGAAGGAGGACTGTCTTTATGATAGTTACAGTTGTGGCAAATGCGCATCTTAACAGCCGATTTAGAAAGGTAGGGGAACAGCTTATACAGAGGTCTTGTGTTTTCATGTTATGGGTCGTCTATCTGTTCAAATACATGTTTAAAATCTCAAAAGCATAAATCTCAATGATAATGACACTAGCATAGTCTCTGGTTCCACATACATATGTTGAAAGTACAAACACATTTGGAAACTTCTTTTCAGTGTGGAAGAACAAGTGTTTTCAGCATGAGGGTTTTATGTTCTTACTCCGTGACCCGCAGCCCCATAGATGTATACAAATCATGTATGTCTGTCCTAAGAGTATTGGCAGCAAATAAGCAAAATGAATAACAAAAATGTGACAGAAACTAAATTCAGAGGTGAACAGCTATTGAAGAATTCATGAATGTGAAAAATAAGGCTGGAAGATTCAATTAAAATATTGAAGAATAGTATTGCTTTACTCCCATCTTTGTGAGATATCCATGAAACGGGCAGTCTCCTGTCTTTTCTTGCTCTTCCTACTCATGTTTTTGGGGTTGTTTCTGCTACATTGTGTTGGGGTGTGTGGCCGAGGATTTGTCTTTTGGAGCTTCCTTTCAAAATGCTTAAATGAATGTATTGAGAAATTAAGATATTTAAGTTATATTTGTTTTGAGACAGAGAAGTTACAGTTTTTGCTTTTATACCTGGAGGGAAGAGGGTTCCATGACCTACCCTGTTTGGAAAGTACATGTAATAAAAAGCGGGGGGCGGGGGGTGTCCCTAGTCCCTCCCCTCTGTGTGCACTGCTATCAGGTGCTGCAGCAGTGTATTAGAGACCACTTCAGAAAAGGAAAGGACTTTGCACATCCAGTTCTCAATCACTCTGAAGAATGGATGTGAATTTTTTAGCTGTGGTGTCCCAAGTGCCCCTGTAATGCTCAGGTATATCCTAGCGTTGTCTTCTTTTCACTGTTTCAATGATACAGGTCAGCTCAATTACCAAGCAGCTTCCCCAGATGAAGGGGCCCTTGTTACGGCAGCCAGAAACTTTGGCTATGTTTTCCTTTCACGAACACAAAATACTATCACTATAAGTGAAATGGGGATTGAAAGAACTTACGATGTCCTTGCTATCTTGGATTTCAACAGTGATAGAAAACGGATGTCTGTTATTGGTAAGCTGATTACAACTAACCTTTAAAGAAGAGGTCACTTGTATTTCATAGGTGAAAAAGTACATGCAAAGGAAGTTGAAGTCAAGAATTACAGCTGTGTAACACACAGTCCTATGATAGATTTTAATCCACATAGCTTTGGATAGCAAAAGAGAGTCTTTCCAATGAGGTGCAAATGTGTCCATTAGACAGTCCTGGTGTTCAGATGTGGCCTCTGCTGAAGACCATGTTAGGTCCCTTTAGTAGAAGCTTGAAGAAATGCTGCAGAGATGATTTATTCCCCTTTTTCCCCAGAGAACAAACAAGTTGTATGTTCCTTTAGCTATTGGAATACTAGCTATGCAGTGTGAGGTATAAATAGCTCTTTAGTTTTGGTTTTAACTATCTTTAAAGAAGTCAGTCTTGGATCAGTTAGAGATCTGTTGTTTTTAAGGCTATAACTATGGTGCATAGTATCTCTAGCATATGTCTCTGCCCAGCTGCTGTGGGCAAGGGAGGTGTTAATACTATATGAACCATTATCAAAACCATAATTCTTGGGAGTTTAAATATCCTCTCCTATCATGAGAGAGAAGAGGAAATGCACTTGTCAACCAAGTTACATAACTGAACAATAGTAGAGATGGTGAAGAAGAAACATGATTTTGTAGTTTTGGTACTTAACAGCAGTAGACTGAAAAATCTAATCTGAAACTATTCCTTTATTTAAATGTACTCTTAACATTTTGTCTCACCTCTCATATTTTACTCCATAGTAAGAGAATCGGGTGGAAATATCAGGCTATATTGTAAAGGGGCTGATACAGTAATTTATGAACGGTTGCACCCAAGGAATCTAAAGAGAGAAGCTACAGAAGAAGCACTAGATGTACGTTTGTATTTTATATGCCAATTTTACATTAAAAATTGTTTATTTCTGACTATAATCTGATTTTATTAATTTCCTTTTCCTAAGCTATTAAACCAAATGCAGACCTATAACTGGTTCTACAAGTCATCCCAAACCTGAGAAATCATCAAAGTGATACAAGTTTTCATGCATGTTCTTAAAAATACATTCATGAGAAGTGAACTTAAATTTTGTGTACCTGCTTTTTTTTTTTCATAATTATCAGTATTCCAGATCACTACACTCTGTTCTATTTGTCACCTCTTCAGTCTTTCAGTTCAGACTGCCTTGTCAGCTATAATTTAATTTTTGGCATTTCTGAAATACCCAGGACTAGTTGCACAGTCACATTTGTTTTATCAGACTTACCGAACGCTTATGATCTTAACTCTTATGTTTGGACTGCGAATGAAGAGTTTTGTTCTGTGGACATGTTTTTAATTATTTTTCAGATTTTTGCAAATGAAACTCTTAGGACACTCTGCCTGTGCTATAGAGACATTAGTCATGATGAATTTGAAGCATGGAATAAAAAGTTTGTGGAGGCCAGTGTAGCTACAACTAATCGTGATGAAGCTCTGGACAAAGTGTATGAGGACATAGAAAAAAACTTGATTGTAAGTCAAGCTTTAAATTTTTAGTGTACTTTTATTCTTATATAAGAAGAAACAGATCTTTTTGAAAATAAATTATTCTTGTTTACTAGGACATTTTGATTTGGGTCTTTTCAGTGTTTTATTGGCTTTAGAGCCATGCCAAATTTTAGACTTTAATAGAATGATGGGAAATGTATTTTAGTGCATGTATTTCAGTGTGGTCACTTCTATATGCAAGAGTTTGTCTTTACTGAATTCTTAGCTTGAGCTGTACCTTGGCTTGAAGACATATCCATAACAGTTTCATGCTCTACTGAAAATGAATCAGTTTTCTATACATGTTCATCCTACTAAATACCTGTATTTCCAATATCTTCCAGCTGCTTGGTGCAACAGCTATTGAAGACAAACTACAGGATGGAGTTCCAGAAACTATTTCCAGACTTTCAAAAGCAGACATTAAAATCTGGGTGCTTACTGGTGACAAAAAAGGTGGGTTTACTTACAGCTGAAGAGCTAGTAAAAACAGGATAAGGGATAGAAGATAAACTGGAACAAATGTGGACTAGAAATAAAGCATATGTTTCTAGAAAACCTTAGTGTGAAAGTCCATTTAAATCAAAACTGGAGGAATTTCTACAATGTGCAGAATTTCATCCCAGCTGTTCCCAGTCCAGAGTTGCTGGATGGGCTTCTGTGTAACTTCTGTTCCTCCAACAGATTAGCCTAGACGACTGATTTTGTGACTGTCTTCTATAGCGAAATATCCAGCTACTGCTTTTCCCAATGCAAAGCAAATGCAGGACAACTTGCTTTTAACACCAGGCTTGCTTGGCTCTGAGGGCAGGTACCAAAACTTGTCTTTTTACAGTGAAAACTTACTTTTCAAATAATCACAAGTGCTGCTGACAGAGACTGATCTGCTTTTCTTTTTGTATTTGATAGTCTGCAGTCTGGCAACATATTTTGTTAAGTCAGTTCAAAAAACAGCATTAAATTTGTAAGTAAGAATGGCTGTACTACAGCCTGGACGGAGGTGCAGCCAGATCAGCATCTCTGACTCTGGCAAAAGCCTTGGTTCAAGGAATCCAGAGTAAGGACAGGTCAAAATTGTGTGGCATATACTGTGGTTGATTCTTGCAATGCCTTTGGTGTAATGGCTCTCTGACATGGAGACAGCACCTCCAGCATCAAGTTAAATAGGCCCTGGTAGATCTTTCTTCTGCAAATTGGCTGATAAGACTTTTCCAGATCACTAACAGTTTTTGCATTCAAAATGTCTTGTAACAATGCATTCCACCCACAGTAACGTACATTTCATAGGAAATGTTGCATAGGAAATATAATTCCCTGTTGTTGACTTAAAATCCATCTCCCATTGTGCCTTTATTGCCACACAGTTGTTGTATGACAAATAATGAACAAGCATTCCCCCAGCTTCTTTGAGTTATGTATATTTTTTTTTCCCTGTTCATTCACACTGTGGTAATGAAAGGGAACTTCTCATGCTGAAACATAACTTCAAAAATTACTTAAGAGGACTTCAGGTACTTCTGCCTGTTCCCAGCAGTTACTCATGACAGAACTTTAAGTAAATACTTTCTCTCTCTCTCTCTCTCTCTCTCTCTCTCTCTTTTTAATTGTAGAAACTGCTGAAAATATTGGATTTTCTTGTGAACTCTTAACAGATGAAACAACAATCTGCTATGGAGAAGATACCAGGCAAGTGAAAAGCACAAAGCATTTCTTTTGTGGGAATTAAAAATGTTCCATTTTTAAAATTAACCCAGCAGTAACATTGGCTTATCCCACAGTAACTCTTCAATGACCGAACAGTATTTCCTGGCAGTTGTTCAGCTGTACATTGTCTGTTTCTTTGCTTTTTACAGAATTGTAATTTTACAAGGTGACCTCTTAATTTTGGGTAAAGGTGGTGATATCCTGTTTGCAGGAAGCTATACGTTCTAGGTCAACAACTGTTGACATCAAATTTGTCCTGTAGTTCAGAGAAGTCTGGAGCCCACCTGGAGTGGGCTAAGCCGGTCTCCTTCTAGTACAAATCTTGAGTAGTTACCAGGTTTTGCTCTCGCTACCTGTCCCTGAACTCTAGTATTACCCCAGCTGGTCTTTCACCCTATCCCATGCTCCTGTACACAGTACAGCCCTATGCTACAAAACCACAATGGATTGCAAGGTATTCAGTGCTTAGTCATAAAGAATTTGTCAGAGTGGTTATACCCAAGGGAAGACAACATGGGACTAGGAGAACTAGGGCCTTGTAAGAGTGTTACAGCTTTTCCTGACTAATTTTTCCAACTTTTTGCTTATTTGCAAACCAGTGTGATCCTCTTTTCACTGTTGCTCTGGCACTGCTTAGAACGTCACCTAATATATGGCAAAAAAAGTCCTAGCAGCATATATTGCATTTCTTTCTTGCACATCTTCAGCCTGGGACTGATGTAGCTTAAAGTTTATTCTTGATTTTTCTGTAATAGTATCCACCTCTCTTTCCAGCGCTCTTCTTCAAACTAGGCTGGAGAACCAGAGGAACAGGGCTGGATCAAGTACACATTCCTCTGTAAGAATGAACGAGCCCTTCTTCCAGGGTAGTAAAGATCGTGCTTTAATAATCACTGGCTCCTGGTTGGTACGTACAAAATAAGTTGTTCTGTGTATTTGAGATTTTGGGGGTACCACCAAGTCAGTGTCCTTCACTGAGGACTCTGTTCATTTGTCTGCCTTGCTAAATCAATCAATGAAAATTCTTTGGCCATTGTGCCTATGGTTGAACACATCTGTTTGATATTTATGTTCAGAAATACTTTTGGTTTTGAAGGTTGAAAATAGCGCTTAATAAAATAAGGAATGTGTTGGGCCTTTCAAATCACCCTGGTAGCTGCCATCATAGTAAAGCCAAGCCCTTGCAAAAGCACAGCCTGATTTTCAGAGTATTTATTCTTCATGGGGACTCTGGTCTAATGGGAAAAAAAAAAAAAAAAAAGAGAGAGAGAGACATGACTGCCAGCATTACAGGATGCATGGCTTCAGTATAGGCACAGAAATTGTGCTTGAAATGAGAGATGGGAGTGAAAGGGTAGAAATAAAAGATTAGTTTCCTGCTCAGTCCTGCAATGTAGTGCTCTCACAGGAGCTTAGAAAGCAGAAAAGAGCTTTTAACAGAGAAGTGACTAGCAGTAGTTTAGTGACTATTACCCACCCTGTTGGCAGGCTGCTCTTACAGACACCTGTAAAGCAGAAAGTCCAGTGAACAGCTAAGGATTGTCTGCCATGTTTCAGCATTCCAGCCCTAAACCTTTATTTTTTTATAAAGAAATGTACATCTGCGTATAAGGCATAGGAAGCAGGCTGGGGATGTCTAAAGGTAATTAGCAGGAGCGTCACATAAAATTGCAGGTCTCTGTTACCCCCTACACCAGCCAAACTGCCCCAGAGCTAACCTGGGTATTTACAGGAGACTTCTATGTGTGTTGGGCATGGTCATGCCTCCTTTAGGAGATGAGGAAGTAGGAGAGAGGGAAGTTTACATACCAGAATGTTTTCAAAACAGAAGACAGATTCCTTTGAACTCTGCAAGAAGTGTTGTGACACTAAATACAAGCATTTTACTTTTGTTAATCCCACCAAGTACATTCTTTTCATTGTTTCCATAGCTCTTTGTTCGCTCCTCTGCACGAGCATTTTATTAAAATGCTATAAATGGGTGATGGGAGCATAATGAAGTTAAGTGTTGTATAGGCAGTACTTAGAGCACGATTTGAAATAGTGTAGAAGGGAACATAATGTATTTTTGTTACACAGAATGAAATCTTGCTAGAGAAGAAAAAGAAGAAAAAGAAGCTTAAATTGAAATTCCCTAGAACAGCAGAAGAGAAGAAAAAGCAAACTGAGAAGAGAAGAAGGGCTGAAGCTTACAAAGAACAGCAGCAGAAGAACTTTGTGGATTTGGCCTGCGAATGCAGGGCTGTGATCTGCTGTCGAGTGACTCCAAAACAGAAAGCCATGGTGGTCGAGCTTGTGAAGAAATACAAGAAAGCTATTACTCTGGCTATTGGGGATGGTGCCAATGATGTAAACATGATTAAAAGTAAGGCAGCTGTAAAACTTCGATTGGTAGGAAAGATCTCTTCTGGGTGTTCTGCAGTCTCTTCACTATTACTCTTTGTTCAGAAGACTCTACCATCTATTTCATTATCCACGTTAACATCACTTGGGTTTTGTTAGCTTCTATGCCTGTGCTTTCCCTTTTTAAGGAAGCCATTTCTGAAATGGTTAGTGGTTTTTGCTGATATATTTTAGCTTTTTCTGTAGACATTCCCTGAGAAGGGACTTGAATTGCATCTGTTACCATGTTGTGGGTGTCGCGGAGGGGATTTAAAGAGAGGGGGGTTTGTATTGCTTAAAGAATCACCTCCCATTGTATTGGCAATAGAAAAACGATTTAATAGAAATTTGTATAAAAGTGCCACTTCACAGAATTCAATGGCAAGGTTCACTGTATTACTTAGTACGTGGATGAAACGCACACAGGAAAACTAAATCAGGATCAAACTGAGCTTGTGTATATAGGGACTGAAAATGTAATAGGGTAAAAGGGAATGTTGCAAAGAATTGATTTCTTGTGATTTCTGCAAAGATCAGGAATGTGGGAAAGGGTAAGGAAGACCCTCCTGTTGAGTCACAAAGTTCAGAGAAGACCCCCTTGCTTTCTAAACTCCTGTTGGAGTCTAGGTGCGGCTGGATCGACTCCTAGTCCCAGACTTGGTCAACAGTTTATATCTAAAGAGATTATGAGTATAGTAGCAGCCTAAAATTCATTCACAGTTGAATGAAATTCACAACAGTAATTTAAGTATAAATTTGAAAATAACTTATAATATACTTGCTATAATATGCTTAGTACATGCATGTGTGTAAAGACACTAAGAGATATACATATAAGAGGGTAAAAGAGAGTAAAAGAGAGAGGGAAAAAGAGGTATAACTGTTAAAAATTCCCCTCGAGGTCAGTGAAAATATTCATGTTGAATGCTTCAGCATTTCTCTCAACGGGCGAAGGGTCGAGCCTCAACGAGCGGAGAGAATCAGTCCTGGCCGTGTCGGCTTTCGGCGACAGACCTCCAATTTTCACAAACAGGAGAGTTTGGGAGCTCCGAGAGGCGTCCCGCTCAGGGGGAGATGCTGGTCCCAGCCTGCTGCGGTCCGGGAGAGCTCTAAGGGCATCCCGTAGTACGGCTGCTTGTAGGTTCGGGAGGTGATGGACTTTTGCCATCAACACATTGCTGGGATGCCAGCTGCGCTGGAAAATCCCCAGGCTGTTGGAGAAGAACTCAAAACACAGATAGGGGCTGCTCCCAGAGTGTCAGGGGAGGACTGTAATAACAAGGTCTCAAGGTCGTTAGGAGAGAGAACTGGCTGCAGGTTGTTGTGAGAAGTGTCTATCTCTCCTCCCGTCCCCCGCCTCCCTCCGCCGGGCAGCAGGAGTCCTTGAGACGCACAGCAGATCTCCCTGTCTCAGCTGGGGAAGAGTTCCTGGCACAGCCAAGGGTCGCTTCGCTGCCCGGCTCCTCACGCTTATGCAAAGGGCTAGCGAGCCTTCCCGAGTTTGTAAATCAGCCTGGAGAGGGGCAAAGAAATGCACCACCACAGTGGGTTACAAATGTGTAATATAAAGAACAAAGCAATAGCTTAGCTGCCCCTTGCTTGGAGGCATTAGCTGTCCTGAATTGCAGCTGGTGCTCTTTGACCTGCTTCCTGAGAAATCCCACTGAGAAAGAAACTTCTGGGATATGGTTTATGTTACAAATGTGTTTGTAAACTGACTGGCCAGTTCATTCAGGGGTTTGCTTGCTCTGTCTCATTGCTTGGTCAAATTTCCCAGCATCCATTCTGATGGAACAAGGACTGAGAGAGAATCCAAGCGATGATGGAGATGTGAGCAGTAAATAACAGGGCAAGGAAGGGCTTATGCACTGTTGTGTTAGTCTTTAATGCAGTCTTTGTGCTGTATGCAGAAATAAAATGGAGCAGAAGAACCTGAAGCAGAGAATAGGAACCAGTAGAAGGTTTGCCCTCGGTCATGTTGTTCCTCTCCCTTTATTCAACATAGTGTGTGGTGTTTGTTTCATTAACTTAGCTGCCCACATTGGAGTTGGAATAAGTGGCCAAGAAGGGATGCAAGCCGTCATGTCAAGTGACTACTCTTTTGGGCAATTCCGCTACCTCCAAAGACTGCTGCTGGTCCACGGACGATGGTCTTACATTAGGATGTGCAAGTTTTTAAGATATTTTTTCTACAAAAACTTTGCTTTTACACTAGTCCACATCTGGTATTCATTCTTTAATGGCTTTTCTGCCCAGGTAAGAAGGCATGCTTGTGTGTAATATTAACAAACAAATCTTACTTTTTTGTCGGTGCAGAATAGCAAAGGCTTAACCTGGGAAGTGGTGGGAACCTGAAGTTATCATCAGTAATTTCTGCAGGAGAATAGGTGATAACTAGTAAGCTAGTTAATTACAAGCTAAGCAGTTGGTTATGATTTCAGAACACTAGAGTCAGTATCATGATTGTACAGGGAGGAAGAGAGGAAGAGATTGTTATATAGCAGTTTGGGAAACCTTTCTCAACCCTGCTACTTAAGATATTCCTAAGTGAAGTGAGATGGTGCATGTATATATCAGTAGGAAACCAAACCTGAACTTTTTTGTCTTGAACTGCTGGCTAGAATGGCTTGAAATGTGCTTCTTGTAACTGGCAGTGTTTGAAGTTCATATAGTGTTGAAAGGTTGTGTTGAAAGGACTTTTAAGAGTTGAGATGCATCTCCATGAGCATAACCAAAAGACAGGCAGATGTCATTGCATGGACCAGCATGGAGGGTCAGGGCCATAGTCACAGACAAGCAGCCCTGCCTGAGGTTGATGCTGTTTGCTGTGATGGAAACTGGGATGCCGAGGACAGAGCGAAAAAAGAACATAAAAAGAAACCAGGGTTCCCAGACTTGTATGTGAGATGCCAAGTGCTCATCACAGTCACAAGTGCAGCTATAAACCAGACTGAGACTTAGTTTGAGGTGTTCGGTTTTGATAGGTTTCCAGGTCAGGTAACACCAATGGTTTGTAAGGAGTGGGGCAGCTTAATACAGGCTAAAATCAGTTTCAGCAGAGCTTTGAGCTAAGGTGCTGCTTGCCTTTTGCTTGCCTTTTGGGTAAACACTGAGACAGGTGATTTAATGCTGTAGTAGAGCATGTGTGAATTTTCTCAGGAATTGGAAGGGAAAGGTGTAATCAAAAAGAAATCATTAACTACTGAAATTTCTCCTCTTGTTTCAGACAGCATATGAAGACTGGTTCATCACGCTGTACAACGTATTGTATTCTAGTCTCCCGGTTCTGCTAGTTGGCTTGCTTGACCAGGTATTCTCCATGTTGTTAACAACAGATTAATCTAAAAGCTTCTAACATCAAGCCTTTAATTACACTGAAACTGTTTGCTTTGTTTTATGTACAAGGAATTTTGGGGGTTATGTTTGGTTTTTTGGATTTTAAAAATATATTCCTCTTCCCAGTGTGTGAGGTAACAAGGGACAATAAGCAGAGGGTTACTGAAACAGCCAAAATTAATCAGGTCAGAGGTCTTCAGCTCTAATGATATTTGTTAAAATATTTCTAAGTACCCGCTGCTCCATGACATCATTCACACAGCACAGCAACGGGCAGCTTTGTTAATGGAAAAGATATTCCTTGCTTACCCTTCTGAGCTGAAGATGTAGGGACTGAACAATTTTGAATTACTGTACTTGACAGGAAGTCTTGGTGTGTAGCATTTGTTTCAATTCAGTGGGACAAGTGCTTTTGGCCTTCTCCACTTGTTTTTCCATACAAGGCTTACTTGTTGATTAGGCAAATCAATGTTTCTGCTTTCTTTTACGATAAAAGCTAAGAAATAAATTCAGTACCAAATTAAGATCTCACTTGAGTATTTGTTAGAGGCTTAAAGTCAGGACATGTAATGATAGCACCCCATCTTCTGCTTATTCACCATGTTGGGAAAGGACTCCAACACAATATACAGCTGTAAAGAGCTGTGCAACTGTGGACATTCTTGTCTTGGCAAATAATGGGCTAAAAATGTAGAAGCCTGGAAACAGAATGTGATAGCTTTGTGAAAGATGTCCTCCATACTTGGTTCTTCCTAGTTGCGTGCATTACTCTGTGCAAAGTGCTGCTGCCCACACTGCTATATGAAAAGGAAAAAAAATCTGCCATTTCCTTCGGGACATTGTATACTTGAGCTTCTGTTGTGGTTTAACCCCAGCCGGCAACTAAGCACCATGCAGCCACTCATTCCTTCCCCCCCCACCCAGTGGGATGGGGGAGAGAATTGGAGGAAAAAAAAAAAGTAAAACTCATGGGTTGAGATAAGAACAGTTTAAGACAACAGAAAGGAAGAAAAGAATAATGATAATAGTAACAATAATAAAATGACAACAATAATAATAATAAAAGGATTGGAATATACAAGTGCTGCACAATGCAATTGCTCACCATCTGCCAACCGATGCCCATTTAGTTCCCAAGCACCGATCCCCCCAACCCCACTCCTCCCAGTTTATATACTGGGCATGATGCCATATGGTATGCAATACCCCTTTGGTCAGTTTGGGTCAGCTGCCCTGGCTGTGTCCCCTCCGAACTTGTTGTGCCCCTCCAGCCTTCTTGCTGGCTGGGCATGAGAAGCTGAAAAATCCTTGACTTAGTCTAAACATGACTTAGCAACAACTGAAAACATCAGTGTGTTATCAACATTCTTCTCATACTGAACCCAAAACATAGCACTGTGCCAGCTACTAGGAAGACAATTAACTATCTCAGTTGAAACCAGGACAGCTTCTTACTCTTCAAAGCTCACACAGAGAACAGGAAATTGCAGCAACTTTTTTTTTTTTTTTTCTTTTCCCCCTTTATTAAGGATGTGAGCGACAAATTGAGTCTTCGGTTCCCTAGACTGTACATTTTGGGACAGAAAGATTTACTTTTTAACTACAAGAAATTCTTTTTAAGTTTGCTTCATGGAGCTGTAACTTCATTGATAATCTTCTTCATACCATATGGAGCTTACCTTAAAACTATGGGACAAGATGGAGAAGCACCTTCAGATTATCAGTCATTTGCTGTCACAGCAGCATCTTCTCTTATATTTGTTGTCAATTTTCAGGTAAGTAAGCTTAGCTTCCTGATATCTGTTGCTTTGAGACACTTTCTGGTCATGTTGCTAAATTTGTGTACTAAAAATGTAACAATGCACAAAAAGCTTCCCTTTTTTGCCTTCTGTCTTCTCTGTTGATGCTCTCTCTCTGACTGATGTGTAACTGGATGAGAGATGACTCAACCAAAATGCTGTAAGTCTTCAGAGTAGTTGACATTATTTTGAGTTAATAAACTCATTTAGAGCTTTTGTTTGCTTTCAGATTGGCTTGGATACATCTTACTGGACTTTTGTTAATGCTTTTTCAGTATTTGGGAGTATCGCACTTTACTTTGGTATCACATTTGACTTCCACAGTGCTGGAATCCACGTCCTCTTTCCTTCTGCCTTTCAGTTCACAGGTCAGTCCTTGTGTTTTATGTTTCTTGTTCCTGTCTCACACAGCTTCAACTTGAGCAGAACTATGGCCAAAATGTCATGGCATGAACCTGATGCCTGTGAAAGGAAATTATGTTAAATACTAATTCACTTCCAAGGAAGGGGTTTGTTTGTGTTTGGGGACAGGTTTCTTTATTGCAGTATTTCTTTCCTTTCAATGAAAATCAGCTGGAACTTGACATTGCCCAGCAGTAGGAGTCTGCAGATGAAAACTAAGTTAAAGTTGGTGGAGCAGCTTAAAGTAAAGGGAATGTGATGATCTGGCAGGGTATGAGTTTGCCAAGTTGCTCTAACTGATCAGTGGAAGGTAAAACCCCAAAGTAAGACAGAGCCAAATGCTGTTAGCAGCTACTTGGGATTTTGCTGGAAGTCCAGGGAGGTGTAAGTAGCAGCCAGTTGGAAATTTTTTTCTGAGGAAAACTTTGCTTCCTAATTTTCTAGTGACAAATCTTTCATATGTCGTGTTTGATCTAACCCCCCCCACCCCCCACAAATAACAACCCCCCTCATTTTTATGTTCTCATTTTTAAGCTGAACCCTTACTGAAAAAAGGTAGTTGCCTGTAATATAATATTTTTTCTTTGACTTTAACCAATGTTTTATACTTCTGTAACTTCCTTCTACCTGAATACTATATGCATTTCACTTGTTTATAAAGATATGGCTGCTACTTAGTTTGATAGAAAGTTCCATGAGGTTGGGTGTTTGGCTACTAAATACCACTTGCTTTCTAGACCATGTACATACCAATACCGGGAGGACTTTTTCTTGCTTTGCCTGTTTTAAAGCAGGACAAAAGCCATGCATCTCAGCCGAGTGTTTGTCTTGCAGCGTCCCGTAACTCTTAAAAGGGCTTTGACATTAATATGGATACATTATAGTAGAAAGGCTCTATAAAATTCTTTCCTATTATGCTCTCTTTATAGTAGAGTCTCTGAATAAATGCATGATGTTGTGTTACACAGCAGAATACCTGAATGTTAGGTCCTAAGGAAAAAAGCTGTGGCTTTTAGTATCTTATTTGTATTTTATAACTAGCTTACTTGATCATGTCATAAATTAATTTTTTGCTCTTCTTATTCCTAGGAACTGCTCCAAATGCTCTAAGACAGCCGTACCTCTGGCTGACCATGATTTTATCAATTGCTATTTGCTTACTTCCTGTAGTGGCACAGCGTTTCTTATCAATGACAATTTGGCCTTCCGAAAGTGATAGAGTGAGTAAAGTCTTTGGTTAATTTGGCTTGTATTTACTTACAGGAGTCAGTATGGGTGCTAGCATTAGAGACAAATTGACTGTGCCCTAGGGAGAACTACATGAGACTGGAGCTCAGGTCCTGTGGCCAGGGAGGGTGGCAGCAGGGCTTTCCAAAGGCCAGACCGAGCCTGCCTTCTAGCTGGGTGACGACAACTGGTGCTGTGACGTTTTGCCATCCAAAGCAGCGTGTCACTTTGATGTGTTCTTTCCCAGTATCTTCCTTGTGTGCTTCTGTGGGATGCAGAGGTACATGTACAAGCTCAGCACGCAGTTCAGCGTGGGCTCATTCATCATTTGTCTTGGCTGAGCACTTGACTTCGTAAAACCACAGAAACCCACTTAGAAGCTACTGATGGCCTGACTTGTTTTTATTTGGGCTGTGTTGGAGTGCCTGTTGTTATGCATCAGAGCATAGTGGACAGTTTTTGTTTGCTTCTGTTCTGCCTTGAGCTGGGAAATAACATATGGGTATGAGAAGTTAAAATTGCGGTGGTAGTGTTTAAAAAGATATTGAAGAAGTGTCAGTGTGAGAACGGAGGAATAGCTTTCCGTTACATATATTCAATCCACTTCAGTGAAAGACATTTAAAGATAAATGAAAATAATGAAGTTCAAAATAATACATTAAGTCTTCCTGAAATGGCAGTGTGTTACTGCATATATTCGTGTTTCTAACAAAATCAAATATAAACAAGAGAACCCTCCTGTTAAGCAGTTTAAGGATGTAAAAAACTATCGGGTAAATGACAGTAAATGCAAACAAGCTGTTTTCCCTTGTAATCCATAAACTAATCTGTCTTTGCATGCGTGAAGATTCAGAAGAACCGTAAGAAATACATGGCAGAAGAACAACAGTGGAAGCGAAGGCAGAGTGCTTTTCGCCGAGGGATATCTGGCCGTCGTTCTGCTTATGCTTTCTCCCATCAGCGGGGATATGCTGATCTTATTGCTTCTGGGCGCAGCATACGGAAAAAACGGGCTCCTTTAGATGCAGTCCTAGGCAATGGTGTGACAGAAGTCAAAGATGCTTGTGAAACAAGCTGATTTACTGCATTTTGGGGAGAAGCTTCTTATCCCAAGGATTGCACAAAAAAATATTTTTTTTTTTAGCAAACTCAGGATATTTTTTTTAACCAAATGGCATAAGGATATGAAGATTTTTATGTTTTATCACAGAACTCCCTGGTTTTGGACTACTGGAAACATAGAAAGGCCAAGAGTTCTCTACGGAGCTACTAATCCTTGTGCAACTGATATCTGTTTAATGTGAAAGTGAAGGATATGTGTGCTAGGATATGAAAACCCAGCATTGTAATTTTTTATTTTTTATTTTTTTAGTGATGCCTGGAATTGCAAACTTTTTTCACATTTTAATAATACATTGGTATAAAACTGCACCTACATTTCATATTTTGTCTTTGAAAGCAAACAGTTACCCTGTGTGCACCATTTCATTAAATTGCACAGTCATAATGGCAAATCAGATGATCAGTCTTTTGAGAGGGCCTTAGGTATTCTCAGCTGAGCTTGTACAGCTGAGATTAAGATATATCTGGTGATAAACTTCAGTCCTTATTAGGAAATCTGACACTTATAGGTGTGGTTTCTGTTCCTTTCTCTTTCCTCAATGTTGACTACAGCTTGCTGCACCAAACAGAGATAGATAGTTCTTTGCATCTTGTTAGTACGAGGGATATGTCAGTATTCCTTTCATAGCCAATTCCTCGATTTCCCCTGGAATAAAGAGATCTGAGTCAATAATTAAGAGAGGGGGTTTCTTCCTCACTTGCTTTTTGTTTCTCTGCCTGTCTCTCTTTCCAACTCTAGAATGTCTTTGTATCTATTTATACAGTGTATTTATGAACAGATATATCTAATCTCTGGAAAGCTGCCCTTTGAGCTGGTGAAAGTTTGTTCATTTCAGTTTTAGATACAGCACTCGATAATGGATAACTAGAAAACAGTTGCTTTTAGACGGAACATATTTCACTTGCTAGTGAGTCAATTCTTAAGAGCATAAAAAGTGTTTTTGTGAGAGTCTCTTTACATTTGCAGATACTTTCACTCTTCAAGTTGAGATATATGAATGTTTCACTTCTATCTATTGAGTTGCAGACTAACGTTGATTACTGAAATGGTTTTATAGTAAAAATTATGATACGCAGCTCTTGTATAATGGAATGTACATTTCAAAAAATTTAATGCAAATAAATATCCTAAAGTTTACAGCTTCTTGTCTAGTAAGTATATGGGTAAGAAGAGAAGTGGGAGAGGAGTGTAAGCAGGAAGCAGAGATAACTAATCTCTCATTGAGACGGATGGAGGTTGGTCTTTAAAAAAAGAAAAAACCCGAACCCCACCACGTGTTGGACTCTAAGATGGGGTGTAATATTAAATACGTAAATTGAGGTGGGTATAGTCCTCTTATTTCTGACGAGACTTACTAAAGACAACCCTTTGTTTGGCTTCGGCCGGCCTCGAAAAGCGAGGCTGCTTTAGCTAAGGTCTGATGGTCTGAAGGGTGACCACGGCGTTAAGCAGCAGCTGAGAAGGGAGTTGAAAGCGTCCCTCCCCTCACGAGAAGATGTTCCTGCTGGTCCTGCCAGCGCAGGCAACGGCGGAGTTGGCTCCGTGGTGCCCGCGGTGGTTTCACCGGCGTCGCCTGGCTGCTGGGGGAAGCCGGCAGGCCAGCCCCGCCGGGACCGCCGCCTTCGTGCTGAAGCTTCCCCAGGCGGCGTCGAAGGTTGCAAGTTCCCAGGTACAACCGCTCTTCCTCACAGCGGCCGGCCTCGCCCCCGCCCCACCCCT